CTCCTCCTCCTCCTCCTCCTCCTCCTCCTCCTCCTCCTCCTCTTCCTCCCTCTCTCTCTTTCTCGACGACGACGACGACCTCCTCCTCGTCACCGTCCTGCCTCCGCCCCCGCTCGGTTCTCGGTGCGACCGTGCGGGCGCTCGACCTGCTCTCCTTCCCCCCCCGCGGGCCAAGCTCGGGCGCGAGCGCGTGCCCCGCCTTCGGCCGAGCACACCGAGCCGTGCTCCGCCGCCACCGGCCACGAGGTGGGTGTGAGGGCGCTGACGAGGACGACCGCTTCACGTACGTTGGGTTTTTTGGATCAGCGTGGGGGGTACCCCTCCGACGGGGGGCAACCTCGCCTCGTCGTCGCGCCGCGACGGGGGTCGGAGCGCCTTTGGCGCGCGGTGGCTGCCCGCGACGGGTGTCGATGTGGGGCTGTCGGCGGGAGTGACGCCCCCCCGACGCTTATTAAGAAACTTGGAGTACGGTGGGGGCGTTCGTTGAGGAATGTACCCAGGAGGCATCGGGCCCTGGAGTATTCCTTATCTGGAGAGGATTGTGGTGATATCCATCGCCAATGCCTCAACTGGACTTCCATCGGTTTCCAGGCCCTGGCTTCCTTATCCAGAGGTTCGTTTTCCAATGCCCTCACCGTACAGTGGAGATTTCGATGGTTCTGTTACGGGAAGCGGGACGCTCCCAACATGAAGGGACGCCCTGGGGTTCCAGGGTTGGGTTTCGTGCGGAAAGTTTCTTGTGGTCGGGCTCCTACGGTACATGCCAGCCCCACCCCGGAACCGCACGTGCCATTCCGCACGGCGGCGCGACCGTGTCGGACGGCGCCCAGTGGAGACGCCAGCGGACACCACTGGCGTTCTTCGTCCTCTCTGGGCCTCCTGGACGCTTCTCGTCGCCACGGCTGGATTCGCCTTCGACGAGGCGTCCCGATGGAACCCAGGAGCGCTCCGGGGCCCGACTTTGCGCGGACGCGGGCCAGGCAGGAGCGCCACCGTCGTCTCGGCCGGCCCTCTCCGAGCACGTGGGCGCGCGCCGCGGGTGCCAGTGCGGCACACCTGCAGCCGCGCGCAGAGGGTGGTGGTGGGGACCCATCGGCGATCGGAAGCCCATCGCCGATCAGTCGGCGATGTCTCGCCGATTCCAGGTCGATGTTTCCCCCATCGGACGGTCCCCCTCAGCATGTCAGCCACGCGCAGAGGGGGTGGGGAGAGGGGGGATGGCTTCTTAGAAGCACCCCTGCTTCTTTGAAGGCGCAGACCTTTTCTATAGATGTAAGACTGGCGCCTACCAAGACGAAGCCTCCTAAGAAGCCTCACCCCTCTCTCCACCCCTTTGTGCGTGCCGCCAACATGTACTCTTTCGTCTCCAGCTCTTCCAGGGATTGTCAGTTTTTGAGGGCCCAGTGATGCTCATATCTAGCTTTTCTTCTCCTGGCCTCGTGTATACTCAAGATGGCAATGGAGATGAGCAGGAGTAGGAGCGGCCGTAGTCGGAAACCAGCGACGTGCACTGACGATTACTAATATGAGAGGAGGATGGCAGGAGGGAGGAGGGGGCGGCGAGTGTTGGCGGGTGTGGACCTCAACACGACCCGAGAAATCTCTAAGACTGCTCCCGAGGCTCCCGAGATGTTTCAATGTCGTCGCGCTGTTTGCTCCGACCGGTAGCTTGATTTATTAGGGAGAACGTTTTGCGCATTTTGTATCATGTTTGTTTCCGTATGCCTTTGATTTATTTTCGCATTGCCACTCGGTGTTCGTAGCGTCCGAGGCGGTCTCAGGTGCGGCCAAGATCGGCCCCAGGCGGCACCAAACGGCCCCGCGAGGGCCCCCGGCTGGCTCCAAGACTGCCCAATAGAGGCCCAAGGGGGCCCCAGAGGATCCTGGGACGGCCCAAGAGGGTGCCAATCACCGCCCACCAAACCACCCCAACCCAACCCGAAGGCCCCGATTTGCCCTCCATTTCCAGTGGGGGGGGCGTCGGGGAACATTGGAAAACACATATGAAGTCCGTGCCCGCCCCAACCCGAAATTCGGACGAAATTCGGGTCTTCGGGATAGTCACCAAGAGGGTGCCAAGAGGGACCCGACCAGACCCTTAAGACAGCCTGGAGGGCCGTCCCAGGATGTTTCGGCTGGAGTAGTTCCCTGGCGTCCCTGGGATAGTCTCCTCTTCACTCTTACCTCCTCGTCCTCCCTCCTCCCTCCTTCTTCTCCTCGTAGTTGCTTGCCTCTGTTCTCTGGGGGGGGGGCAGGATTGATCCTCCCCGGGCGGCGCTGGCAGTAGTCAGTATGCCAATTCTGGATGTACCAACCTATCTCATCATGGCCACGCTGCGGCACGGCACGGTACGGTATCAGGAGCAGGCGGTATCGGTACTGTTAGTTGTGCCCGGTCATTGCCGCCGGTACCGGTAGTGCCCGTACGGTAGCGGGACTCCACGACACCGGTACCAGTACGGTGTTGGGACCTCGCGGTACCAGTACGGTACCAGGACCGAGGCCGGCACAGGTACGGTAATTGGAAGGACGAAGGGGAACGTAGGCAGGAACGAGGAGGAGGAGGCGGAGGAGGAGGAGAAGGAGGAGAAGGAGGCCAGCGCCCCCCGTGTCCCCCCTGTACCCCCCTGTACCCCCCAAAACCCCACCAGTACCGCAAGCTCGCGCAACACCTAGTCCTGGGCCCTGCAGAGGATTTATTGGAGAGCGTCGTTGCCATGCAAACCACAAGTGCTGTACAGCCGCTTGGTCTGTGAGTAGGGCAGCACGTCGCCTTTTTTGCTGGGGCGGAGCCTTGCGGTGGAGCCTTGGCCAGAGCGGCGCTGCTGTGGAAGCCATCAGCACCGTGGGTGCATGGACGCAGTTCCGCATATCCCGTTTCAGTCGTGGATCGCCTCCCTATTTAGGCATGAAGCTTCCTGAGTTTTAGTGTGGTTATTTCTATTCACCTCGCCATGCAAGAAACGAAATCAACAAGAGCAACACCAATAATAACAATCAGTTTAATATTGTTTGCTCCCATATGTTCGCGTATCATTCATGTATATCCCAAGCCCTCGATACCCGCCTTCTTCGTCTTTGGTCGTACCCCCTTTGCGGGTATATGTTCCTTCCCGGCCACGTGTAATTGGCGCAGCCCTTAAAGCAGGACGAACAGTTATATTGGACAGGAAGGGAGGGGAACAGCAGCAACAAACAATTTAAGACCTTCCGCTCTTATTTGCTCGCGCGTCAACCAGCATGTATATGTCAAACCCTCGACCAGCATGTATATCCCAAACCCTCGATACCCACCCTCCCCGTCGTCGATCGTACCCCCCTGGAGGTATACCTTCCTTACCTGCGACGTGTAGCTGGCGCAGCCTCTAAATCAGGAAGAGGAGGGAGACATGACAAAACAGATAGCGAGGAGGTAAGGAGTGCGGGAAGGGAGGGAGGAGGGAAGGGGCAGGGGGGAGGGAGAAAGATGGAGCACCAGCGAGAGATTAGCAGGAGGGGGAGAAGGAGCAGGAGAAACAGTGGCAGAACGGAATGGGCGAATCGGGCGGGCGGTCTCTGCCGGGCGGGTCGGGCGTGCCCAAACGGCCCCCCAGTACCCCCCCAGTAACCCCCTGTACCTCCCAGTGCACCCCAGTACTCCCCAGAGCCCCCCCGTACCCTTCAGTACCCCCAGGGCCACCCAGTACCTCGCAGGGCTACCCAGTACCCCCTAGTACCCCGCAGTACCCCCCAGTACCCTCCAATACCCCCCAGTACCCCTCAGTACCCCCCAGTACCCTTCAGGACCCCCCCAGTACACCCCAGTACCCTTCAGTACTCCCAGTCCCCCAGGGCCCCCCAGTACCCCCCAGGGACCCCCAGTAGGGCCCCCCAGGGCCCCCCAGGACCTCTCCTGTTTGGGGCAGTGTGCGTCACGGTACGGTATTGTCCGGTACGGCAGACGCGGCTGGTGCGGTATCGTCCAGTATTGCGGAGACGCTCGGTACGGCACCGTCCGGTGCGGCGGCCGCGGCCAGTAAGGTATCGTCTGGTACGGTGGCCGCGGCCGGTTTGCGCGGTATGGTATGGATTGGTTTTTGATTGGCTGGTCTCTGGTACGGTAGCGGCCATTCTGCTATCTTCGATTTGAGGCCCAGTCTAGCTAGTTTCTCTCTTTCTTCTTCTTATTCCTCCTCCTCTTCGTCCTCCGCTTTCGTCTCCTCCTTCCTCCTCCCCCTCGCCTCTCGTCGTGTGGTGTGTGTGTGTGTGAGTATAGTATCGTTATCCGTTTGGGTCTCAGGGGATAGATATTCGCATGCGGCACGTTCGCTTCCTCTTTCTGGCCACGATTCACTGCATGAGTTTGATTTTTGCAGGTCGGCCTGTGAGGGGCTCTTGGTTCGCTTGGCGACCTCTTGATTCGCACAGCGGTTGTGGCCGAGTCGTGGCAAGTTAAGTGATTGCGCCCCCTCCCCTTTCTAACAAAACCTGATCTGCTCGTCCTTTCTCCCCATCCTCCGCATTCTCATCACTCATTCGTGCGTCTTCTTTTTCATCATACGACCTCCTACGTTCTCCTCGCCTCCTCTCTTCCAAGATGTCACTGGAGTGCACCAGCGGTACCCTTGCATCAGGAAAAAGGTGTCATGCCCTGGTTCGGGACATTGTTGAATCTCCAACTGTTCGACGGAAGTAGCTCCATGCGTCTCCGGGTGAGGCAAGATAGCGTTCGGAAAAGGCCCCCAGAGGACCCCAAGATGCCATCGCGACAAAGCTATTCTGGATTGTCCTGGCACTGGCCTTATCATGCGCTATGCTCGGGCAGCCGAGCTAGATAGAACTTAACCACGCGCCAAGCGCGCGTGCGATCCTTAACTTGCTCCCTTTGCTTCTCCTCTCTTCATTGGTTGTTTCCGCCTGTCAGGTCCCCCTCCTTCGTCTGTCACGTCAGATCTCTCTACACCTCTTACTCTGGAGTGCCGGTGCTGGTCTCCTCTAACTGCGCCCTCCAGCCCGTATGTCGATCCCTTATCCTTCCGCAGTGTCGAGTGTGCTGCATGCAGGGTGTCCTTACGTTGAAACTATTTTGTATTGCGGGGTGTTGGGCGCTTGCCGAAACATAGCATCCAAGGTGGAGCACAAGGTGATGGAGGTGAAGGATGAGCCCGGCGTTGAGAAGAAGGAGTTCAACACTTCTTCTAACATTGCATGTTCGATTCGTCGCTCACGCTGCTTCAGTTCTGCCAATATCGACAGATTTTTACGCTGCCGCTCGGAGGTCGTAATTGTCATATGGGGTCTACTCACATAAGTATGTATGCGGGGTCGAGGATGGCAGCAGGTCTGGCGAGGGCGAGATTTAGTCATTTAGACGCTTCGAGTCAACCCTACTACCAGCCCATCCAGAAACGATACCCGGGCGAGTCGCTCGGATCAGAGATGTGGAGAAGCATGCAGCGTAATACAGTGCATACCCCAAGAGGGGGAGCATGGAGGAGGGGGGGGCTAGAAGGAGGAGAAATTGGAGGAGGAGGAGGAGGAGGAGGAGGAGGAGGAGGAGGAGGAGGAGGAGGAGGGCGAGTAGAAGGGCCAGAGGCCTCATGGAGGCCTTTTGTGGCGGCTTGGGGGTTTCGTGGCGGTCCTTGGGGCCTCTTCGGGCGTTTTGGGTGTCTCTGGGGGGCCCTCTTGGGGGCCCTTGGGGGCCGCTTGGGAGCATCTCGGGGCCGTCGTGGGGCTCTTGGGGCCGCTTGGGCGCCTCTTGGGGCTATCTTGGGGCCCTCTTGGGGCCGTCTTGGGGGCCTTGGAGGCCTTCTTGGGGCTTTTTTGGGGCCGTCTTGGGGGCCTTGGAGGTCTTCTTGGGAGCATCTTGGAGGACATCGATCGAAGAGGGGGGGTCCTTAATTTGCCTCGTCCCGTTGGAGTTCCCAAAGTCGCCTCTTGGGGTCCTCTCGGAGCGCTCTTCGGGCGCCTTCGGGCGTTCTTGGGGCTGTCTTCTTGGGGCCATCTTGGGGGCCCTCTCGGGTCAATCTTGAGGCCTCGGGAGCCCATTGGAAGCGAAAGGGCGAGAAGGCCATAATCATTGTTTTTCCTAGAGTGTTGGACGGATTTTGGCCCTCGAGGGCCTCCTTGGGAGTCTCCGCGGCCACTTGGAGCCATCTTGGGGCCATCATGGGGCCTCTTGGAGGGGTCTCTTGGGAGCCTCTTGCTTGGGGACCTCTTGGGCCCCTTGGGGGCCTCCTGGGCGCCTCTTGGGGCCGTCTTAGGGCACCCTTTGGAGCATCGCGGGCCATCTAGGGCCATCTTGGAGGAGATCGATCAAAAAATAGGGGATGATCAATTAGAGCTTCCCCCCCAGGAGGCCAACTTATGATTTGTGCCTTCTTGCCGAGGCCGTCTAAGAAGCTCTGCTCGGTCGCGACCTCCCCCCCTCCAGACTTCGGGGTAGGGGGTTGGAGGAGGAAGCCCGCTAAACCACTCGCGCCCTAAGGGCTTGTGGGATTTCAAGTTTCAGGATCGTAGATGGCGAGGACATCTCAGGCGAAACGCCCTGTCCGCCCTGCTGACACGACTGGAGGTGCGACAGGGAGGAGTTATCTACAAGGAAAAGGTGCGGAGGAGGAGGAGGAGGAGGAGGAGGAGGAGGAGGAGGAGGAGAGGAGGAGGAGGAGGAGAGCAGGAGGAGGATAGGAGGAGGAGGAGGGAGGAGAGGGAGGAGGAGGAGGAGGAGGAGGAGGAGGGGGGGAGGGGGAGGGAGAGGAGGAGGAGAGGAGGAGGAGGAGGAGGAGGAGGAGGAGGAGGAGGAGGAGGAGAAGGAGGAGGAGGAGGAGGAGGAGGAGGAGGAGGGGGAGGAGGCCGACGAGGCGAGAGGGGCGAGGGTGCTGGCCCGCCCCATGCAGGAGCTGGCCGCGCCCGCTGGGCCGGCGGAGGCCGGCCCGGAGCCGGGCAGCCTCTCCGCCCGCCTGGCGCAGTTCTTCGCGGTGCCGCCCCAGCGGTTCCCGCGGCGGCTGCTGTCGGTCTCGTTTGACCGATCCCCATCCCCATCCTCAGAGGAGAAAAAGGTACCCATACTCAGAGGAGAAAAAGGTACCCATACCTCTACCCCCCCGCTCGTTTTCCCCTTTCTGGGCCTCCTGGGCGGCCCTCGTCGCCACCGCTGGATTCGCCTCGAGATCCTGGTCAGAGCGCGCCCTGGGAGAGGTCTGGGGGGTTAGCGGTATCGGTAGACGACTCGATTAGACGTAAGAGTGACCTTTCGCCGGAGTGACCTTTGGTGGGGGCCAAACGGGTTCCTCCGGTCGCCAAACGCGATGCGATAGTAGCGTCTTGCGCGCTTGTGTTTGGTCCCCCCGCGGTCACCCAAAAGCCGCGCACCAAAGGTCGCTCTTACCCAGGGTCACTCTTGTGTGTAGTCGACCCACCAAATTCGCCCCCCAGTTGGGGATACCCCTCGACGCCCGAAGGAAGCGACCTACATCCCCATCCAGGGGGGTAAATCGGCCAGTGGGGCTCAGGCCACGCCGCGGGGGATGGGGATCGGTTAAACGATACTCATGCTGCCGGGCCGGGTCGGAATGGGGGAGGCGCCACCGAGGCTTCATGGCGCCAACATCGCAGAGCGGACCCCGTTCGGAAGGCAACAGGATGGGCCTGGCGTGTCTTGGAGGATGTCGCTCCGAATCTCGAAGCGAATTTCGTGCGGTTCTTCTGGTTCAGGGATGCAGACCGCAAAACATCCACGTGAAGTACACTTCGTTTTTCGTTCGCCGTTTCGGGGTTTTGCCTTGTCAGGAATTCACGCCACAGTTCCGCCGCAGCACGTCTGCAAGGTCGGTGCGGGGGGGGAGCCGCCATCGAGGTTGAGGTGAATGTTAGAAGTTCGAGGTTGCAGGTTTTCCATTGTTTTCGTCGGTTTGCTAAGCTTCGACGGCCCCTGACCGACACGGGCCGCTCGAGCGGCTTCTGCTCCAGCTGCGTGCGACCGCAAAGTGTGTTCATCGGCCGACTGCCTGATTTCGCCGCCCTGCTGCGCGTCGCGTGGCCGCGACGCCAACCAGAATGTGTGTTCACAGGAGGCCGCATGCGAGCCCTACCCCACCACCCCACGATTTCTCAAGGGGAGGCAGGGTTCACTTCGCTCGGGAGGTCTCGAACGCAGTGAACCCCACCTCCCCCCTCAGAAATCGTGGGGTGGTGGGGTAGGGTTCGCATGTGGCCTCCGAGTTCACGGGTCCATGTCTGAGTGTGCTTCCCCGCGCGGCCGCCCTCGTCTTCTTCCTCCCTCTCGCACGCCGGACAATTCGCCTTTTGGTCGCCCCGAACAGCCACACGCTGGAGCGGACTGCCTCTGCCGATGATCCTCAGGACGTGTGTTAGCCCAATGTGTGTCTTACCCCCTCCAATCAACCAGTTAATCATTCTATCGCCTAGATCGTGTCGAAGGGCATCAATAAACAAACACGCGTTGGGGCTAAGTGATCTTTTTTATTCATTTTTTCGCCGATCGGTGCGGGCCTTCGCACCTCCCTCTCCCCCCCCATGGAGTAGATCTGGCCTGTTTTTGGCGCCTGTTTCTAGCAGGTGGAGCCCCTCCCCCACAATGGACGCACCGGTGCGAACAGTCGCGCTGAGCAGAGGTCCGGAGCCAGACCCCCCCTCCCTTTCGCCCAGTGTCGAAACGCCGAATAAAACAAACGCTCACCTAACACACGTTTTAAGTCGGGCCCGTCCCTCTAGAGGAGGAATATTCGAAAATAGTAAACATAGTCAGGGGACTATTTTTTGAGTATTTTTTGACCATTTTGGAATATTTTTTGAGCATTTTGTATTTTTCGTCGAAAATCCCCCTGTAGGGGGACACGCCCGACCTAACACACGTTCTGAGGATCCTCGACTCCGCCTCGCCGCCGACGAGGAAACCTTGCAGCGTGCTGCTCGGGGCTTCTGCGGCTGTCCCCCCCTTGGGCCCCGGGCGGGTCGAGGGCCGCGCAACAGCAGTACTCGGGAGGACGGTGCAGGGAGCGCGCGGCCGGGAACACGTGCGGCTGGGAGAGCACCGCAGCGCAGTGTTGCTGGCGATCGTGTCTCGAGCAGGAGATCGACTACAGAACTGATTTGTCCCGAACTGGACTTCCTCGTCGAGTCTGCGAGAAAAAAGTACGTATAATGTTCTGTTCGTAGATCTACGAACGTTCTGAATAAATATCGTCGGTTCGGCGAGAATTCCAATTTTGGGGTGAACCAATTCTGCAGTCGATCTCCTACTCGAGTGTTCTGGTCCCCCCCCAGTTATTAGTCAGTCTGCCAGGACAGGGCCAAAATGCAACGGCTCGCGTTGAGCCGTCTGCAGCATTTGCAGCTCGAGCGCCGCCGGCGTTGGTCATGCTCAGCAGGCGATGGCCAGCCGCGGCTCAGCTGCTAGACTGGCGGTTGTCTCTGCTGTTGCTGCTCCCAGATGGGGCGCATGCAGAATTCAAACAACCAGCTACCAGGATCGAGACGTGGGCAGTACGCGGCTACGGCCATTTCCGAGATGACCCATTCATCAAGGGCTCTATTCTTGTGTCGCGGTTTGGGCCTCGCGGCAGCAGTGGTTATCAGTCGCTCTCTTGGACCTTGCACTCCATGGATCCTGCGTGCACCTACGAGCGAGTGCAAAACGACGAGATCCCTGGTGCCTGCACGATCAGCGTGGTTGACGAGACGTCCTGCAGCAGTGGCGGCATCGAGGAAAGCAGCAACTATTGGAACCGGTCTGAGGTCGTAGGCGACCCTTGGAGTGGGATGTCCTATGCCACTAGCAAGAACAATCTGTCAATCGCCAGGAACCGGCGCATCCACACGGGCCTTGCTATCGATGACCTGCGACGCAAGGCCGCCGTGGTGTTCAACGGTGCAGGGCTGCCAATCGCGTGCGGGCGGCTCGTCAATGCCGTCTGTACCGCCAGCCTGATGCTGTGCGTGTGGCATCTGGACAGCCTCGTGTCCTTCCTGCTCATGCTGCTGCTTCCTCTCGTGGGGATCTTCTGCTTCTGCTTGTGCCGGCGCTGCGACCAAGCCCTGGGAGTGGGCAAGCGTCACAGGGGGGTGGGCTACGAGCTCCTGCAGCAGGCAGACGCCAACCCCGACGACGAGGGCGAGGAGAAGGACGCCCGCCTCGAAGGCCCCGCCCTCGGCACCAGCGCTGCCGCCGCTGTAGCTCTGGCCGCGGTGCGTGTGAGCTCGCCCCCCCGCGCACGCCCCGATCCCTACGTCCTTTTCGCATACACCCGTAAGGCTTGTGAAGAAGAGCAGCTTCATATCAGAGCCAGAGCTGTCTGAGCAGACGTATATTTTGTATAGATTTACGTATATGGTTACGTTGATGTATATGTATATGCATATGTCATATGTACGTGTATGTTTATGTATATGTTTGTGTATATGTACATTTATATGCATACATTTATATATTCATATATGTATGTGTATATGCTTACGTATATGCATGTGCATAGGTACATGCATATGCACTTGTGTATGTATATGCATATGTATGCGTATATGACATGTACATGTAGATGTATTTGTGTACGTATAATTACATGTATATGCATATTCATATGTGTGTTGTAACTGTTTATGTAGATGAACATGTATTTGTCTATAATTAGGTATTTGTATATGTGTATGTATATGTATATGACTATGTTTGCGTACATATATGTATGCATGCATGCATGTATGTATGTATGTATGTATGTATGTATGTATGTATGTATGTATGTGTATCTATCTATCTATATATATATATATATGTGTGTATATGCACGTATGTAGATATGCATGCATGCATGCATGCATGTATATGTGTCTGCATGTATGTATTTATGTATTGCAATGGCGTGCCATAGATTCTTTGTTGCGTGGTGGAGAGCGGGAGAGGGCCGCTGTCACTTGTGCTCAAGCCTTTCTTCCAGCGAGCTGGGGGCACCTGTCCAGGCAGAGACGCGGATGGTTGGCAGACCCTTCGTGTGGCTCCTGGGCGCAGCTACCAACCTGCTGGCGGCCTGGATATCGCGAGCGCCGCCGTGTCCTGCGGCGCCTACTTGTCCTTCCTCGCCGGCGTGCCCGTCGGTGTCGTGCCCCAACCTCTCGTGTGGGGAGGTCCATTGCCGGGCGACCAATCACGACGTGTACGAGGAGCGGTACGGTCAGGGGAACCCAGACATCGTCGCCGTGGTCTTCAGCCCGACGCGCCAGGCGCTGCAGGGTGTGGACCCGAATCTGCTGCACAGGTTCAAGCGCGAGCCGAACGCGAGGGAGACGATCGCTATCCAGGACGCTCTCGTGCAGGTAGCTGACCAGCTGTACTTGGACCGCGAGCGCGCTGCTGGCAGGCCGCGCACGCTTCCCGCTGGTGGCTCCTACCTGGAATTCGACTTCACCGCAGACGCCCCTGGACCAGGCGTTCCTGGCGCAGGCCCTGCCGCTCACGCGCCCGCGGCTGGAGCCGCCGCCAGAGCAGCGCCTGCCGCGCCACTGGTGAGCGTGGCCGGGGCCGGCGCCGCCGCCGCCCCTGCAGCCGGTCCCCTGGCGGCCGCCGCCGTGCCGGCCGCAGGCGCCCCAGCGGGCGCCGCCGGCGCAGCGCCGCCGGCCGCGGCAGGAGTGGTTGGGCCGCCCGCTGTGCTGGCCCCAGTGTGGGTGCTCATCGAGAGCACGGGTGGTGGCAGTCGTGGCGACGTTGTCCAGCTCAACGGGACCGAGCGGATCGAAGGTGACATCGGCCTCCTGAAACTGAACGCAGGCTGGGTTGCCATCCGTAGGATCTTGTTGGACCCATCGGTGTACAGGGGCGCGGAGAGCGGGGCGAACATCAGGCTGCTGGGCGTACCACCTCGACCCGACGGCTCCAGGCAGCGACTGGCTTGGCGTGAGGCTGTGCCGATGATGGTAAAGAACCCCATCCCGGGGTGGCTGCTCGACGGACCTCGGACCATGCTTTGGTGCGCGCAGTTCATCGACAGGAAGCGGAGCGGCCCCGTGGAGCACTACAACAGCTTCGTTGCCTTCTATCATCTCACGAAGGAGGATTACGGGGTCGCTCATTATGAGAACATAATGAAGATGATCGAAAATCTCGGGTGCTGGGATCAGTTGAATGTTCCCGACTTGGTCGGGGCGGAGCTGGCCATTCGTCAGGCGCAGCTGTACGAGTACATCTACTCCATGGAGTTCGAGGCGCAGCAGTCGAAGGGCTCCAAGGACGGCAACGAGGGCGACGGCAAGAAGAGGGGCCGAGGTCGGGGAGGAGGGCTCCACCGATTCGGCATCGTGGACGAGGCGGCGGTGTTCACAGGAGCGGCCAAGGAGGATGGCCGTTCCATGCTAGGCCCGCTGCTGCTGGAGCATGTCTCCAAACAGGTGGAGCGCGACGCAGGGATCCTGAAGCAGATCAGGAAGGCCCGTGAAGAGCGTCGCGCTCTGTCATCATGAGCGACGCGGGCGGCTCTCGGGTACCCCTCGCCCGAGAGTCAGCCAGGCTGAGAGAGGGGGCGCCCGTGGGCCTCGCGGGTGCAGCAGATCTACCTGTACATGAGGCTTCCCACTCCAGCGCCGACCTTCGCCAACGTGATCTCTTTCCTTTACCTTACTTTGGCGCTGGAGCTTCTTCTCCCGCTGCGTCTTCCCCGCCTTCGAGGTCAGTGCGCAGGCGCCTTGAGAAGCGGTCGCACGTTCGCGGCATGGTCGAGGAGATGACCGACGCGCTGAACGAACTGTGGGGCTGCCCGCCCGCGGCGCGCCGTCAAGCGCCCGCAGGCGCGCCGGTGCCCGCCGCTGGCCACGCCCTCGTCCTCTCGGAGCTCCGCCAGGCCGCTGTGAGGTTTGGCCCGTGCCCAGAGGGCTTGGACGGTCCAGGGGCCCTCGAGGAGCTCCGGATATCTCAATCATACGAGGGTGACGCCACGTTGGTTGCCCCGGTGAGCTTCGACCTCGTCGACTCCATCTCATTGCCTCCTGCTGGCAGCCAACCCGCCGCCCTGGAGACTATCGACGAGATGGCAGGCCAGAACATCGCTCACCGGCTGAAAGAGTTACTCCTGCCCCGACAGCTGGGGATGGAGCGCATCAAGGAGGCAGGTCCGAGACGACTCTACACGGACCCTGCCCTTCGCAACCCGCGCCTCTACGCGATGGTGGTGCGGCGGCTTATGGGCGCCGGGCTGGTGGACTTCAGCAGCTCGGCGGAGTGTTACGTTGGCATGTTCTTCGTGCGCAAGAAGAACGGGTCGCTGCGGATGATCCTCGACGGGAGGCACGCATCGCTCAGGTTTGCGCCCGCGGACCCCGTGGAGCTGGCGACGGGTTCGGCGTTCGCTCAGATCTCGGTCGACGGCGACGAGCCCATCAGCATCGGGGGCGTCGACATCTGCGACGCGTTTTACCAGATCGAGCTTCCGCAGTGGCTGCGCCGCTACTTCGGGCTGCCCAAGTTGAGGGCTGGCGACATCGGGCTGACGCACTTGTCCGACGGTGCGCCCGTTAGACCTTCGGCCTGGGTGGTACCGTGCTTTCGGTGCCCGCCGATGGGCTGGAGCATCAGCCTATGGATATGTCAGAGCTTGAACGAGGCGGTGACCGCTCGTGCTCTTCCTGGCCATTTTGGCCGTCGACTTGTGGACCGTCGGCCCGCGCCTGACTTGCAGCAAGGAATGGCGCGCACGGTCTACGTCGACAACTTCATCGCCCTGTCCCACAGGCTGCGCGAGGTGCGTGATGCAGCTACTGCAGTGCAGAGGGAGCTGACGGCTTCAGACCTTCCCTCGCACCCCGTGGAAGCATCAGTCGGCGGCGACACGCTGGGCTGGCACTTCGACGAGGACAAGCCCGTGATCGGTCTCAGCGTTCGGCTACGCTGGCGGCTTCGCCTTGGCATCGGCGAGCTGCTGGAGCGTGGCTGGTGCAGCGGTCGCACCATGATGAAGGTGATGTCGCACTTCACGTCGAGGGCGTTAATTCGCCGAGAGCTGCTGAGCTGCCTAGGGGCCGTGTCCGGTTTCATGGGCGACTGCGGCCGCGAGAGGCGGCGGCTGACTCCGGCAGTGAGGCGGGAACTGACCTGGTGCCGCGCGCTGCTGCCCCTGTGCTTTCGAGACGCCGGGCGGCCTCTGTCGCCTGTCGTGTCTTGCGTGGACGCCTCGTGGTGGGGCGCAGGAGTGACAGAGAAGACCATCACCTCGGACCAAGCTCGTCGTTTGTCTATCTTCAACAAGCGATGGAGGTTCAGTCGTGATGGCGAGCAGCAGGTCGCCCTTCGGGACAAGGCCCTAGCCCTGGAGAGCAAGCAAGCTGAGCGTATCACCTCGTCATGCATCAAGCAAGCCTCGTCGGAGCCCGACCGCGACCCAGCAGTCATAGCAGCAGTTATGGAGCAGCAGGTCCCGTTCCGAGTCGAGCCGAAGCCGAATCAGAAGGAGGAGGTCACGTTCGAGGAGGTGCCAGAGGAAGTCTGGGCGGAAGGATGGCATCGGGTTCTATCTACACCATGGACCAGGAGGGAGGCTCAGGTGGTACTGGAGGGGAGAGCGTTAGTCTTGTGCCTGAAACATCGATTGCGAGCCGCTCGAAACTTCAACACCACGCACATCATCTTGAATGACTCCATGGCCCCAGTGTTGGCCCTTCTCAAGGGCAGATCATCGTCGCCTCCGCTTCTGAGAATCTGTCGCGTCAAGCATGTGCTCTTCTGTTGGCTTCGGGGTCCTCAGCTATCTGGCGTTGGGTCCCATCAGAACATAACAGCGCAGATCCAGCTTCTCGTGACCAGACTGGTGACATCCCCGAAGCCGTGCGGGCCAAGACATCGAGGCTTGACGCGTCCTGCCCGCCCGCCCAGGCACTGGGCCTCTGGGAGGATGGCGGCGCCACTGTCGATGTCGGCCCTCGGTTTCATCGCGGCCCCTGCTGCGCCGGCGACGCGGGCTCGCAGGAGGCCGGCTGCGGCCCTGGGTGCTGCGGGTACTCACCAGTTGCAGTGCAGGCCGCGCGCGGCGCCGGGGGCTTCAGCGCGCCCAGCCGAGAGCGACCGCCGGGCAGTCCGTCAGCAGGAGAGGGCGAGCCGCTTCCCCTCCCTCCCGGCTTCGGCCCCCCGCCGGGGCTCGACCTTCCTGGAGGAGCAGTCGGTAGGGGGCGCGACCAGGGCAGACTACCAGCGTCGACAGGCCGCCTTCAGCCTGTGGGCCTGCCAGCGGGGGCATTCGCTGGTGACGCCGGCAGAGGTGGACAAGGCGCTGGCGCTGTTCTTCCACGAGGAGTTCCTGGACGGGGGCGAGAGCAGCGACGCGTGGAAGCTGATGGCGGCCCTCGCCTTCGCGCGCTCGGACCTCGGGCCGCGCCAGGGGCGCCTGCCGCGGGCGGCGCGGGCAGCCAAGGGTTGGTCTCGCCTGGCGCCGCCTCGGTCGCGGCTGCCGCTCCCGTGGACTGTGGCGTGCCTCGTCGTGGAGACCCTGTGCCGCAGGGGCCTGGTGGAGTACGCGTGGCTCACCGCGCTCGCGTTCGGCCTTTACCTGAGGCCGCGCGAAACGCTGGATCTCGCGCAGTCGCAGCTCATCCCGCCAGGGTTCACCACGGCCACGGCGATGCACCACTGGTGCGTAGTCCTCCATCTGTTCGAGAGGCAGACCCCGTCCAAGACAGGCGTGTTCGACGAGAGCCTGCTGGTGGACTCCACCTGCTTCCCGTGGATGCCAAGCCTCGTGCAGGAGCTGCGCCGCCGCACGCCCGCTGGCCACCGCCTGTTTCCCGTGACCTACGCGCAGTGGAACTACCACTTCAAGGCCGTCGTTGCCGAGCTCGGCCTGCAGGTCTTGGGCAACCTGACGCTGCACCAGCTGCGGCACGGCGGCGCGAGCCGCGAGCTGTACGCGGCGGCGCGGCCTCTGCGCGACATCCAGAAGCGCGGCAGGTGGGCGACCGACGCCGCTCTTCGGCGCTACGCCAAGGGCGGTCGGGTGCAGGGGCAGCTTCACCGGCTGCCGCGCGCCCTGCAGCTCCGTGCCGAGCAGGCGTTCCGCGGGATTGGCGCCACCCTGTCGGCGAGCTGGCATCGTGGGTGAGGCGCTCCAAGGCGGGCGTCTTCCTGGAGGTCTTCAGCGGCTCCGGGCGGACGTCGGCGGCGTGGCGCTTGCGGTTCCGTTCGCAGCATGCCGCCTTCGAACTGGACATCCGCCACGACGCCGACGGCGATCTCCTCCTCAGGCGGATCAGGCAGCAAGTTCGAGGCTGGGCGCGGAGTCGGCTCATCGTCGCGATCTGGATTGCGACGCCCTGCCATTCCATGGGCCGCGCCCGCAACCGCCCCAACGGGCCACCACCCTTGCGGACGAGACTGTTCCCGCTCGGGCTGCCAGGCCTGTCGCCAGGAGATCAGCTCAAGGTCGAGAGAGGAAACGCGCTTGCCACGTTCAGCTTCTCTCTTTTCTTGCTCGCCCGCAGTTTGAACATGCCAGTTGTGATTGAGAATCCTAGCACGTCTTGGTTGTGGTAGCTTCCAGGTGCGCTCAGTCTCATTCGAATTCGTAACACTCGCATTGTGGACTTTGATTTCTGTGCGTTCTCGACCCCTTGGCGCAAACGCACTCGGCTGCTGTATTGCCATCTCAACCTCGACCCGCTCATCCCTTGTAAATGCTCAGGTCGTGGGGTCTGCAGTTTTAGCCGCCGCCCCCATCAGGTCCTCGAAGGCAAAGATGCCTCAGGCACTTTCTGGACACACATCGCAGAACCGTATCCCAAAGATTTATGCAGGCTGGTAGCTAAGTGTTTTCAGCAGGCTTTGCGAAACCACGCGTTTCTGAGCCTGGACAGGTTTGTGGAGGCCTAAGGCCAGGATTTCAAAATTCGCAGTTGCTCGAGTTTTTAGGTTTCGGACTGTGATTGTCTCGGGACGCGTTTTCCTTGGTCGAGGTGCCTCGCCCAGTCAGTCAATGTTGCACGGAGCTCCGGGACGAGTCATCGCACAGAGTTGCGGATGCAAAACAAGTCTGGCCCTCGGGAGTCTCCCCAGCTTGCACAGATTGCAATGGCGTGCCATCGATTCTTTGTTGCGTGGTGGAGAGCGGGAGAGGGCCGCTGTCACTTGTGCTCAAGCCTCCCACCCACGCTGCGCTCCCATCCCATTTTCAGCTCGAGCAGTGTCCAGTGGACTGTGATTGTCTCGGGACGCGTTTTCCTTGGTCGAGGTGCCTCGCCCATTCAGTCAATGTTGCACGGGGCTCCGGGACGAGTCATCACACAGAGTTGCGGATGCAAAACAAGTCTGGCCCTCGGGAGTCTCCCCAGCTTGCACATATGTATATATGTAGGTATGTATGCATGCATGCATGTATGTATGTATATGTATATATATATATATTATATATATATATATATATATATATATGCATGTACGTATGTATGTATGTATGTATGCATCCATGCACGCACGCACGCACGCATGTATGTATGTACGTACGTACGTACGTATGTATGCATGTAGGTAGTTAGGTAGGTAGGTCGGTATGTTTGTATTATATATATATATGTATGTATATATATATATATATATATATATATATATATATATATCGACAGTCTGGATTCCAGGGTAGAACATGGAGGCCAGCACCGACGACTTCCAGGCCTGGACCACGCACACTCGACTTGCGGAGTATGTTTTCTCAGGATGGTTGTTTCTTACCAATTTCTGGTGCCACGTTCTGGTTTGAACGCCTTGGTTGCTCCAGGGTGCCAAGCCAAGGAGGCCTGGGCGTTTGGCAGGTTGTGGTGGGAGAGATGTTCGCCGGCTTGTTCTCCTGGTGAACCGAAGCATATATACATATATATATATATATGTAAAATTATGTTTTACAGAGGATAACTATATTATTTCTCGGGGCCGGGTCCTCGGGCCAGTACGCTTCCCTGATTTCCCGCCCCCTCCTGGGCACCGGAGCTCTTACCCCCACCCCTTTGGGCGTGCTCTTGGAGTTCCCACAGGGCTTCAAGTGGCCGCGAGAGCCTCTGGGGCCTGCCCTGGGCGTTCCCAGAGGGCTCCAAGAGGCCGCAAGAGTGCTCAAGTGCCCGCCAATTTGTCACAAGACAGCTCCCAGACGATTCCGCGGACACCCAATAGGTGCCAAGAGGCTCAAGATGCCTCAAGCTGGCCCCCCCAGAGGAATGAAGAACTTCTTAAGATCTGTCTCGCATCCCCGTATTGTGGCTTAATGACGCGAGGACTGCGGCGGAGCCAAAGGGCGATCAGCAGCGCCCTGAGAAGGCATCAGGAAGGTCCCAAGAAGGCCCCCGAAAATCCGACCAGGGCGTCTAGAGTCTAGAGGCGTCCGAGACGACCCAGGGGCGTCCGAGGACGTCCCAATACGGCCTGAGAGCGCTCCGAAATATCCAAGCAAGGCTCCAACACTGCCCCAGGAGAGCCTCAGAGAGCTCCAGAGGGCTTAGGCGACCCGTCCTCCTCCTCCTCCTCCTCCTCCTCCTGCTCCTCCTTCCTCTCCTCCTCCTCCTCCTCCTCCTCCTCCTCCTCCTCCTCCTCCTCCTCCTCCTCCTCCTCCTCCCCCTCATCCTCCTCCCCCTTCTCCGCTTTCCTCCTCTTCCTCTTTCCTCCTCCTCCTCCTCCTCCTCCTCCTCCTCCTCCTCCTCCTCGGGTCGCCTACGGGCCCGGGGGAAACCGTGCACAAAAGGGCCCCAAGAGGAAGAGGACCTCAGAGGCCCCCCAGAGGCTAACAGGGCGCCCCCCTGAGTAGGAGTGTTCCCTGGCCATGATTTCGAGGCGGACCCAGCCGTGGCCACGAAGGGCCTCTCGGAAGCCGTACAGTGGAGGCCCATGCCAAGAGACACCCTGCTTGCCTCCAGGGTGCCCTGGGTTTCCTGGGTTTCGGTGCTCTTGCCATGGAGCGTGGGGTCTCAGGGTTGGGTTTCTTGTGGAAGGTTTCTTGTGGACTGGCCTCCACTGTAAGAGGGGTGGGGGTGGGGGCTGCAGCTCAGCTTCCGTGCCCGGGCCGTCCTTTGAGGACTTCCCGCGAGGCGTGGCCAGAGAGTCCCAGCCTCTGGATATGGAGCAGCGCCTGGCCTCGATCCTCGATCCTCGATCCTCGATCGATCCGCGATCCTCGATCCTCGAGATCCTCGATCCTCGATCGATCCGCGATCCTATGTCGCTGCTGCTGCTGATGATGTCGATGCGGATGATGCTCATGAAGCCACGGATTCTGACGAGACTGATGATGCTGCTGATGCTGCTGCTGCTGCTGCTGATGATGATGATACAGATGATGATGACGACGATGTCGATGACGACGATTATGGCGCTGATGCTTATGATGCTTATGATGCTGACGATGGTAATGATGATGCTGATGCTGATGCTGATGCTGATGCTGATGCTGATGCTGATGCTGATGCTGATGCTGATGCTGATGATGCTGATAATGATGATGCTGATGATGGTGATGGTGATGGTGATGGTGATGATGATGATGATGATGATGATGATGATGATGATGATGATGATGATGATGACGATGCAGTGGATGCTGGCGACGATGCGGATGTGGATCCTGGTGCTGATGCTGATAACGCTGACGATAATGGCGAATCTACTACTGAGGATGCCGACGAGGATTCTGCTGCTGATTGTGATGATGATGCTGATGCTGGAAACACTGATGACGATGATGATGATGCTGATGATGCTGATGATGATGATGAGGATGTTGATGCTGATGCTGCTGATGATGATGATGCTGCTGATGCTGATGCTGATGGTGATGATGGTGATGATGGTGATGATGATGCTGATGCTGATGATGCTGCTGATGCTGATGCTGATGCTGACTATGATGATGATGATGATGATGATGATGATGATGATGATGATGATGATGACGATGATGCGGAGGATGAATAGGAGGAGGGGGAGGAGGAGGTGGAGGAGGAGGAGGAGGAGGAGGAGGCGGAGGA